CTTGATTTGCCAGGAGCTATAACTCAAATAAAATTATATATTTTAATATATATATAATTTATAATGAAATGTTAAATATTATAATAAAAATAAAACTTTTTTATTTTTATATATTATACATATATATATATAGTAAAATTAATTAACTTGAATATAATCAGGAATGTTTGGTTTGCCAGGAATTAAAACTCAAATAAAATTATATGTTTCAATATATATCATTTATAATAAAATATTAAGATATTTTATTTTATCTATATTAAATATGGATATATATAATAAATTAATTTCACTTTAATATAATCGGGAATGCTAGATTTGATAGGAATTACAACTCAAAACTATATATTTCAATACATGTAATTTCTAATAAAATATTAAAATATTTCATTTATTTTATCTATATTATATATCAATAATAAAATTAATTAACTTGAATATAATCGGGAATGCTCGATTTGCCAGGAATTACAACTCAAATAAAATTACATATTTCAATATATATAATTTACAATAAAATATTGAAATAGTTTATTTAGTTTACCTATATATATATATATATAAATATATTAATTTAGCTTGAATATAATTGGGAATGCTTGATTTGCGAGGAGTTACGACTCAAATAAAATTATTTATTTTAATATATGCAATATGTAATGAAACATTAAAGTATTTTATTTATTTTATATATATTACATATATCAATGTATATATATAAAATAAATTAACTTGAATATAGATTTGCCAGGAATTACAACTCAAATAAAATAATATATTTATTTATATATAAATTATAATTATAAATCTATAAAAAATATATATATAAGTTAAATATAAAAATATTTTCTTTATTCTATATATTATATATATATAAATAATTTTAAATTTGATTTTTTTCATTACATTACCTGTTTTATATTAAGTTAATTACAAAAGCACTGCAAATTCCGTYATTTTTTCCTATAAATTATTTCCTGTAATTACATAATTGATAAGAGCACCGAGCTGAGTGCTGACACCCTATTTTTTTTTGTTGACACCCTGTTTTCTTTTGTTTACACCCTGTTTTGTTTTTTTTGTTGAAACCCTGTTTTTTTTTGTTGACACCCTGTTTTTTTTTGTTGAAACCCTATATTTTTTTGTTTACACCCTGGTTTTTTTTTTTGTTGAAACCCTATTTTTCTTTGTTTACACCCTGTTTTTTTTTGTTGAAATCCTATTTTTTTTTATTTACACCCTGTTTTTGTTGCTGCCAGGCCACCCTGGATGTGGTGATGAACCTGCAGTTCCATTACATCGAGAAGCTGTGGCAATCGTTCTGGAATCCCAAGGCACCCCCTAGTGATGGCCCCTCTGCTCTGCCTTCCAGGTA